AACAGGTTTGAGAAATAAACAGGTTGAAGGACGAATCTGAGAGGAGTGTCCTGTAGTATGGAGACACGATTAACCATCTGTGAAGAGAGGACCAAGGGGTAAAAAGAAAGCATTTTTTCCAAAGGAGCCCTAGGGCTCAGAATGTATCTGTAAGCGACACAGACTGAAGATGAATGGCTACTCATCTAGAAAGAGGGGAACAAGGCGTCCCTGGTTCCTTTCTTTTCCTAGTGAACGCCCAGGGTACATGAGAGAGAGAAGGAAAAAGCTTCCTCTTTCCTTCTTTCATCCTTATATCCCCAAGTCCTGGTGACCACAACAGGGTGCCACCCATGGGTGTCAATGCAGCTTTCACTCACGTTAACAGGTGGGCCTAGGGCATGGGATTATCGACACTTCCCCATGCACTCACTGCCTTTCCCTCTGCTATAAGTAGCCTTTGAGTTCCCGAAACCTCATTTACGCCATGGATACTAGCATGACCTCTATCCATGAAATGGGAGGCTTGGCTTAATCAACCAGAATTAGTCATGCTCATGTGTGGTGTGTGCCTTTTAACTTCCATTGTTGTCTGCCTCTGGATCCATAAGATCCAGTTTTCTTTCCTAGGGCTTCAATCCAAAGCTTGGAATTGAGTTTGGGACAAAAGAATTGCCTCCCTATCATAAGCCAGATGCTAAGGTGAAGCTCTAAAATTGGGTCCTCTCAAACATGAGAGAGAAAAGGGTGTCCTGTGCATTGGAGTCCTGGCCTAATAAAACAGCTTTCAAGAAAAATCCTCTGGCATTGAGAAGCCCCTTGTACTCACAGGGCTGTGTTATTAGGTTGGTGCAAAATCAATTGTGGTCCCTGCCAATCTAGGTAATAGCAAAAACTGTAACTACCTTCACACCAATCCATGAACTGCTGACCTGGTGGAGAAAAGAAAGGAAAAAAAAAAAAAAAAAGCTTAAGCAGAGGGCAGGGAAATGCCTGGGGAAGAAACTTCTTGTTCTTATGCAAACAGAGAGAACATTTTAATCGTTGTCCCAACAAGCTGGACTCCTTGGCCAGGGGAGAGGAAGACTGTATGGATGTGTGGCAGGGAACACTGGCCACCTGTCTGCACAGGGCCTCTGGCCCCCAAGATTGCCCTGGGGCCCAGGCAGCAACTTCGGCTCAGTCCCATCCTGCATGGCTGTTGGACGCCAAGTGTATATACAGCAGACATGGCCATGTGCCCCAGCAGGGAGGGAATGGGGCACAGGGAGCCACCACTTTCGCATCTTTCCCGTGTGGCAGCCATTGGGGTTGGGGTGGAACACCCTTGGTATTGTAAAAGAAAAGATAGGTGCCATTACAGTCCTGAAAAAAAAAGAAGAAAAATGCCTTAGCAAAGACTGTGTTGGACTGAGGCCGACATTCCCAAATCCAAGAGTGACGCAGGGGATGCAGTTTCCTCTGCCTTCAGAAAAAGTCTAAGAACTGGAAGGCCTAGAAACGAAAGTGAAAGAAAGGGTTCACATTTTTACTCACCCTTCCTCATGTCCCCATATAGGCCACCAAATGATGCAGGCATTTTTGGTTCTTAATTCAGCTAAATCCAGGTGCTTGTCTCACGACCAGGAAAAATTAAGCATGCAGACACATTGAAGGGTAAAGAAGGTGGAATTTATTAAGAGAAAAGAAAGCTTTCAACAAAGAGAGGGGTCCTGCATTCAGTTTTCCACCTCACGAATTAAATACCAGGCCACCACACATGAGCTGAAGAGGCCAGGATTCTCCCCTGCATAAAGCATGACTTTCTGGTAGCTCCACCCCATTTTTCCAGTGCACATGTGGGTCCTTAGTCTGAACCACTCCACAATGATTTATTTCCCTTACTGAGTATGTGTTAAGGGACATGCTTAGACCATGGGCATGTTTAGACAGGCCTCCTGTGCACAATGACCTGGGCAGGTTGGAGGTTCTCCGAGGACCCTCTCTTATCTGCCAAGACATTTGTCTGTGTCCTGCCTCTATCAATAGATATTAAAGTTCATTTTTCCTTTTGCTTGGTTATTTTTCTGGCTTTCATCATTAAATTACAGACAGTGATTTTAATGACCATCTACCTGGGTTCTGAAAGGCTCTGTAAAGAGCACACACTTGGGATTTGGCATATTTTTCCTTCAAAAGAACAGATAAATTCCTTGCCCCATATCAGTTAGGTGGTGAGTGGAAGTATTAGAATTTGAAACACAATTGCTTTATTCTGAATTCTGTTTTTGTTGGTTTTGTTTGTTTGTTATGTTACCAAGTTAAAATCTTGGCTTGAAAGAAGTGTTTTAAGGTATAATTATGGTCCAAAAGCAGATTCAGAGAAAAACTTTCACTAATTTCTAGTCCTTTACTACTTCTAGAAGTTCACATTTTATTACTAGCTTTTAAAGTAGCAACAAAGACAATGAACCGTGCATGGCTTGTTAAATGAATATGAAAACATGTGAAGTAATGTGGCTTTTAGGCTTCTTCTTCAAAATTGTTTGGAATTGTGAATTTTTAAAATGGAGATTCTTTACACAAAAATTGATTCAATTACATACAATGTTTACTGTGTGCCAGATGTCATTCAGATGCTTTAAAAATAGTAAATAATATGTTCCTCCTAACAAATCAAGAAGTAGGTGCTATTATTCTCATTTTATAGATGAAGAAATTGAGGCACAGAGAGCTTAAATTGTCCACAGTCACACAGCTTGTGTTGGTTTCAAGAGTAGATCCAGGTAGTCTGACTTCAAAGACCATGCTCCTTATCATCTGTTATGTTGCTAAATGAAATACTGACTATGGAAGACCTAGGAACAGAAGGAAGTGCTGCCATAAGTAACTTTGCTTCTAACCATAATGCTTGTGAATATTTTCATCCCACGGACTTCCTGCAACTTTACAATAAAATCAACTCCTGGTTCCTCATGGGCTCCTAATGTTCCTAATGTTCCTGGTTCCTAATGTTGAAGATTAGCTATCAATTTTGGTCACTCAGCCAAGTGAATGTGGAATACTTCTCTTTAATAGGCCGTCTCTAAGGAGCTCTCTTAGTAAGAGTAGGTGCTCCTTTTCAAGGAAACTATTTGGATCCCGTGTCTGACTGTTGGCCTAATCACCATGTTTTTAAGTGTTGGCTGAATTCATTGTAGCAAATTGCTTTTTTTGGAAGCACTACTCCTACCTGAGGCTATTCTTCACATTTTAAAATATTATTTAGAGTTTTTGGTTATGTAATTCACTCTTCTACTAGAATTGACAATCTTCTTCTTCTTCTTTTTTTTATTTCTGAGACAGAGTCTCGCTCTATCACCAGGCCGGGATGTAGTGACACAATCTCAGCTGACTGCAACCTCCACCTCACAGGCTAGAATTGACAATATTCTATGGTAGTGGTGGTAATTTGTTAAATATGGAGGAAAATGAAATCTTCTTACTGCCACCAAAATAAATATCTGAAGTGTCCTTGTGAGAATCAATAAGCGAAGTGCAACTAAATTAAAAAGTTAGATTAAGGTATAGGCAGAACCTTGGGACTATTAATAAATAAAGGGTTTGGTTTCATTGTTTTATTGCCTGAGATTCTATTAGGTAAAAAAGCAAACATCGTATATAAACTTAATTGGCACATGATCAAATCTATACAAATTTACTATCTCTAATGATATTCCTGAATGTTATATTTAATTTTAGGTTTGTCCCAAATAATGCAATAATAAAATTGGTCATTCTCCGTGTCTTTCCCCCAGTATTATCACACTGGAAAAACAAACTTTCTATTCCAAAGTTAATTTTATTCTTACCTGCCAGGAATGTGAACAGATCTAAGAGTATCAGCCAGCCAAATTTCCTCTTTGTCCTATTTTCAGTTGCATCTCAGCACATTAAATTGGGAAAAAAAATTGCCCTTCAAGGGCTTACTATCAAGCCCATCGCTTGCACTCTCTTGATCTGGGTACATGTGGCTTTATTCCAGCCTCTTCTCTGTAGGTCTTCTAGTCCTTTCAAATGCCCTACTGGAGAGAACCCAAGACCACTCCATCGGCCTTCTCCTCCATGTGGTCTACATCTGTTTCCCAGAAAATAATCATGCACCATTGTTCCTGCAGTCACGAGGAGTTTTGACCAACTTAAAATAGCACCATTTTCTTGCCTTTGTCCCCAGAGCACCCATGTGCTTGTCCTCAATTTCCTAGGAAGGAGTCAGATCCTGGCCCACTGCCTTTATCTCCAAGGAGAAACCAAGCTCTTCACTATGGCTCCTGTGAAAGGCTCTCATTAAGCTTGAGATTGGAAGTTGTCTTCTATCACCGTTTCCCCTAAAGGGCATGGAGATCCTAACACCACCAAAATTCTCTCCAAATAAATGTCTACTCATTTATATAGTTCTACAATGAGTATCAGAGAGTAAGGTCTTAAAATATGTTTCTTTGGAAAGTCTACATATGTAGTTTTAGAAGGTTATATCAATTGAGCTTGGCATTTAGTTGACACATTAAGGTTAACCTCTTTTTACATTGTCAAAAGCAATAATCACCATTAGTGACAAGCAAAAAAGATGGAAAATTCCTTTCTCTCTGAGTGCCTGTTGTATATAAATGACTCTGTATTGGCTTGTTCACAGTGATTGCCTGATTTAATCACTGCAACAACTGTGTGAGGTGGGATTATTATTATTCCCAATTTAGACAGGAGGAAACTAAGTTTCAAAGAGTACATTTTTCAAGGCATTACAGATACTGTGGAAATAGAAATATCTAACTAGAAACTTATTCCTCTTCCTGCTATGCCATCACAGGTAAGACATACATATCCCAATGCCAATGTTAGCCCAGGACGACCCACTCTATTTCTCAAATAGGCACTTTCCTTTTGTTAAACTTGGATATAAAATGGTTTGAGGTCATTTCTACTTCTAATGATTTTGAACACAGCACAAAATTTTAACATTTGGTTGAATCTTAAAATATATGTTTAATTTTTTTTTTTTCCAGACAATAGATTTTGAAGGTTTCAAACTATTCATGAAGACATTCCTGGAAGCCGAGCTTCCTGATGATTTCACTGCACACCTTTTCATGTCATTTAGCAACAAGTTTCCTCATTCTAGTCCAATGGTAAAAAGTAAACCTGCTCTCCTATCAGGCGGTAAGTTTACTTACTTTTAACATTTATATAATACAAATTTCAAAGGCTAAATAAATATCTAGTTATCATAAAAAATGAATGATGATTTGCATAAAAATTGTTTTTTTGCAGTATTTAGACTTTCACAGTAAGATTGTGTGAGTTATTTAAAATTTTTCCAGTATAATTATAGCTAATTAGAGAAAATATAATTTATCATTATCTATCACTTGCTTTAGAATTCTATGTTTAGGTAATAATTTGAAGAGATATTTCCATCAAATTTGGAAAACTGCTCTTTTTAAATAGCTAGATAAGTATAGATGGTGAGTATTTGAAAATGTGGTCATAAAGCAATTATATCTAAAAAACTTATAATATTTAATATCTATTGCGCTAATTGCCAATATACTTTCACATGTTTAGATTTGTAAGCTCAGAACAGAGATTTGATTTTTCTTTTAGATACCTTAAATTTGTGTCACCATAGAGATGGTAGTTCTCTCATTATGGGTAGATTTTTAGAGACACATAATTACACTAATACCTGTTGTATCAATCTCCCTCCAGTCAGGAAAACAGAAATTTCACTGTATTACCCAATGTAAAACAGTGTAATTGGTTAAACTGTTTTGGAGGGTTGAAAAAGCAAAAAGAAAACACAGGTGATGTAGATAGACTCACAGGAAACATGTGCTGCCCTTAGATGGCGATAATCACAACCCAGAAGCCCTGAGGAAGGATTCCTTGGAGCTAGGATGAAATTCTGAGGTGAGGGGTTGCCTAGCGGACCCAGCTCTTGTGCTCCTGTGGCAATGACACTTCCCGGCTGCCTCTGGAATTCAAGCTCGGGAATTCAAGACGGGTCTATAGCCCAGGAACTCAGACCTATGAGGAGGGTGCATCACCGTGGCCTGTCCCAGATTGCCTAGCGGGGAGCTCATTGTGCCTTTGATGGTGTGAACATGAGCTAGAGACCAGAGCCTACACTGGACAACCCGCTACAGGGCTGAATGGCTGCAGAGATTCAACAGGAGCAGCAGGTTCTCTCTCAGGGTCTACCCCTTCTCCCCCAACTCCCCTCCCCACTGCCCCAACCCCTGTGCCTTCTCATCTCTCTCTAGTGTCCTCTATGGACAGAGCAGGAATCCACTGGCAATGAAGAAATATCTGCAACAGTGTTTCTCACTCTGATCACAGGACTCTTTGAACTCTTAAACACTGAGGACCTGAAGGAACTTATGTTTATGTGAGTGATATCTATTGAAATTTACCATATTAATGATGAGACATTCCAAAAATAACAAGAATCAGCCCACTACCTGTTAACAAAAAACAACCCATTCTTATGAAAAATAACTATTTTCAAAAACAAACAAAAATAGTGAGAAGGGTAGCATTGTTTTGCATCATAGCAAATCTCTTTAATGCCTGGCTTCATGGAGGAAAGCTGGGTAAATTATATCTGGTAGTATGTTTCTGTTGCTGGATCATATGTCATATAGCTTCTTGAAAACTGCACTGTACACTCAAAAGAGAATGAGAGTAAGAAAAGCAAATAATATCTCAATTCCATTATGAAAATTATTTTGACCTTAAAAATCCCCTGCAAGGAGCTCAGGGATCAAGGAGAGCCACAGGTCTAGAGATTCCCAACTCCAGAATCACAAAGTAGCATATAGAATTGTTGGTATAGAGGCCAGACACAGTGGATCACGCCTGTAATCCCAGGACTTTCCGAGGCTGAGGTGGGCAGATCACAAGGTCAGGAATTTGAGACCAGCCTGACCAACATGGTGAACCCCAGACAACCACACAAAACCAACAAAAAAAAAAAAAAAACAAAAAAAAAAAAAAACAAAAACAAACAAAAAAAAAAAAAAAACAAAAAAAAAAAACAAAAAAAAAAAAACAAAAAAAAAAAAAAAACAAAAAACACAAAAAAAAAAAAAAAAAAAACAAAAAAAAACAAAAAAAAAAAAAACCACTCCTTCCTTCTTCCTTTCGCTTCCTTTCCTTCATTCCTTCCCTTCCTTCTTCCCTTCCTTCTTCCTTCCTTCCTTTCCTTCCTTCCTTCCTTTTCTTCCTTCTTCTTCTTTCCTTCTTTTCTTTTTCTTTTCTTTTTCTCTTCTTTC